CCCCAAAACCCCAAAACCCCAAAACCCCAAAACCCCTTTCTTATAAATATTTTTAAATAAATCCAATGGCCAAACGGATCAAGACCCAGATTGAGAAGCACCTGGTGTACTTCTCTGAGCTAGAGAAGGTATCCCTTAAAGGAAAACAAGAGATGGAGGAATTCCTTCAGTTTTTAAAGAAGAAGATCCAAGTTGAGAAGAGCAAGGCTGCACAAATTGCCCAAATCTCTATACATGAAACTAAATCTTTACAAAGTTCACCATTCGCACAGGTTATTGATGCCATGAAGAGGAAGTCTAAGAATGAAGTTGAGCAATATGAGTTATTTGTCAAGAATTTAGTTGAGGACGTCGCCTTACCGTTTAAAGAAGCAATGGAGGAATTTGACCAAAAGTCTCAGCAATTATTTAGCAAGGTAAAGGATAGCGTAATCTTGCTGTCTTATGACCTCGACAAGTACCAGAAGATTAAGTGGAGATACGATGATAGCTCAAGTGACTTTATTAAAACGCTTTATAAGTACACTGATTTCCTCAAGCAATCTACAGAGAAAAGCTCTGTATTCTATCAGAAATAAGTTGTTCCAAGAGCTAGGCTCTCACATGATTCAGAACGAGGAAAAAGTTATCGAATGAGCCACAAAAGAAGAAGAAATCAACGATGAAATTGAAGGTTACACTGAGAACCTTGAAGACTTTAGGAAGGAATTCCAGGAGCTTGAGTCAATGCGCTTCCAAAGTATCGAAGATGCTATTAATAGAATTGTAATTTTCGAAACCAGTTGTGATATGAACAACAAATATGACACCAAAGGCATGGCAGCTCTTGTTGAGAAGTTAGACCGTGATACCTATTGTGAGGAGATTAAAGTCGATAAAATATCCCAACTTGAAAGGCTCAGCTTCAAACCAGAAGATGAGCTTAAGCATTTCGACCTATTTTACGAAGATAACAAGGAAAATGATGAAATAGAGAGAAAATGAGAAGAAGTAGTCAATTTTGTTGAAAAAGTTCAATCTGCTAAGAACCGAAATGAAGTTGACCATATTATGAGCAACTATTTTGATACATTTACTGAGCAAGTGCAGCATTACAGGTAAGCTATAGCCCTCCTTCATCAAAAATCGCTTTAATATAGATGAAGAGACTCTTTCATAGCAAGTTTTGTCTCTAGAATGGAGAACAAACATACTGTCTTTAAAGGAAAATTCGTTTATGATGCCATGGTGGCTATCTTCAAACAAATTTTAGAAAGAGCCTATGAACAAGAAGATACTGAATGAGGGTACAAAATAGTTGAAATTATGAGATCTTTCTACTACAGCCCTGCTGAGGGCATCCTGTTCATCTACCTCCAAAACGAACTGAAGGATGCAAGTATCTACCGTGATTCAAAATTCTGGCAAAAGTACTGAGTATTGTACTGCAGGAATATTCTAAGGGACACTTCTTTTGAGTATGAAAACTCTAAGGACAAGGAATACAAAATTAAGAAGTCTTTATACAAGACTTGCTACAAGCTTAGCCAGATCATGCTCAGTTTTGGCCAGCCCAAGGAAGCTATCAAGAGTCTCATCTCTGAACTATGAAAGTCCTTCAAGCTTGAACAGACTGCTATTGAAGCTATTCTTGATGAAATTGATTATTATGGACTGACAAATGAAGAAATTGAAGAACTTAGAAAATCAAAGAAGAGTAAAGGAAAGAGTTCATCTGGTGGTTGGTTTGGAACTTTCTCAAAAATGGGATCTATGTTTAATCCGCTCTCAGATCCTGGTAGTCGAAGAGCAATATCCCCAAGAGAGGAAGCAAAGAATTTGGATGCAGATGATCCTGGCAGAAAGCCTAGTATGTCTCAGATGGTATCTTCTAATTTTGTGATTCCTACCCAAGGCGAAGCAAATTCTGATTATCTAAGAGGTTCTTCAAACGGAAGTATTGATAGGAGTAAAGACCTAAGCAAGGAATATGACCAGAAATTAATCGAGGAACAGAAAGTAACTGAAGTTTGAGAAAAAGGTATCAAAATTTTATAAGCTTTAGACCCTATTCAAATCACAGAAAACATTGAGTTTGAAGCAGGTAATACTATTACTAAAATATCCTTATAATCGGTTTATAGGTTCCCAAATAAGTCACCCAGTCAAGAATCCTCCTCAAGCCGTAAATAAAGTGAGTGGGGAAAGTCCTCAGATGGAATAATTTCACAATAAAATTTGTTTCAAGCCTTCGAAGTCATTACGGGGTTTTGGGGTTTTGGGGTTTTGGGGTTTTGGGG